GGGCTATGAGAGCCCCAAAAAAGGTTCTCCATGACACATGCTGTGATCTTTTCAGGGGGTACAAGCTTTCCAGAACTACCCCATCATCTTTCGTCCCAAAGCTGTGTGTGTCACAGTACAACGCCTCCCTCTGGCGCCGACTAGGCAGGCTTGAAATCCAACTAACAAACCCGAATCGATTCCTAGCTTCTTCGACGTATAATGCACGATGAAGATCACGAGTCCGTCACAAACACTTGACTGACTCCGGCCTATATTGAGTGAAGCTGCAAATGTAGAACAAATACAGCAAAAGCGGATCGCTAGAGCTGCCTGCCTGTGCCAGGCGATTGATTGTGTTCCTTTCCAGGCTAGGGATAGTTGATGTGGCCGAATGCAAGCCGTTCCACGTGACAATTCGAGTCTTCCTTCGAGTCTTCCCTCGCATGTCCGTCGGACTCGAGGTTACTTCATGGTTGGAAGTTGGAAGGCCTAATCAGATCTACTTCCAAAGACGTGTAAAAATTCTGCCAAAATGTCCAACATGTGTCCTTTCCTTCAAAATGTCCAACATCCAAATGGTTGCTACTCAAAATCATCGTCCTTATGAAGGAGCTTGGTTGATTGACTCTTCAGGATCCTGACTTCCCAGCTCGGGTCTCCCACACTCCGCCGGCTTCAGGGCCTCCGAGACGAGGTTCAGCGGACGTCATGCAGTTTTTGTTGTTGTTTTTCCCCCCCGTGGCAACCTCCCCAAACTGCACCGTATAATACTAAAACCAAGTTAAGCATTTCCATGACATCCCATTTGTGTGGGCAGCATGTTCTTCTATTCTTCTGCATTTAGCGGCGAGCGGCCTCTCTTCGTCACCCCTGGTCAGTTCCCTGCTGCAGTCTAGCTACTCCACCAATACGGGTCAAACATAGGGTAGCCCCAAAATGGAACCCTGGCGTTTAAAAGGAAGCAAGGACTCTAACCTGCGGTTTCGAGGTTTAATTTTGACTCATACCATGTTCTGTTTTTCTTGCTTCGCAAAAGTGCAGTGAAACGTGCCACAGCCGCACCAGGAATGCCGTACCATCTTCGGAAGCTCATTGACGATGCTTCCCTTCGCAGGTGTCCCTTTCCTTATCTTGGGGTCAAGTCGCATCTATTCTAGATGTAAAAACTGCTCGCAAGTATCCGTCCGTCCTTCAACTCCGTTGAGCTTGGCACTCACAACAAGTTGCTCGCGAAGAAAACCGTGAAAAGAACTGGCTGCATGTGGTTCGCACCTTGTCTGTAATTATGATTGATTTCAATGCGTCGCTTGTTTTTCTTCTTTTACTTTCATTTTGTATGTGGCACGTAGCCCACGTCACCCACCGCATCTGGAGCACATGTCCGCCTGCTGTTCGAGCAAAGGCCGGAAGCTCCATTAGGACAAACTTCCGGAAGGACACCAGGAATGAATGGTGGCACGATAAAGTGAGACAATGCAGGGAAGTTAAAGCCTATGCGCATTCGCTGGTGGAAACAAACTCTAAACCCAGATCAAAATGGGATAAGGAATGAATGAATCGATGAATGCCAAGAGCGTCAGATGCCTTGCGAGGCGTAATGAGACAAGCTCGTCGAGAGTGTTTTTCTCCAAGTTCTGCGTCCAACTGATCACGGAGCGAGAACGCTACGCAGGTTTACCCCAAGAGGGCAGATCAATGGCTCCTGCATCTGAATCCTCCTGAAATATGCTCAAATCCGGAATGGGCACCCGAGTCTCTAACAAACAAAACCTGATCTTCAAAGGGTCGACCCAAAAACGTGATAATCAGAAGAGCGACCAGGGGGGCGCCTCTGGTTGGGGAACGAATCTTCACTCAGGCTCTGTGTCCCAAAACATTTGAGGCGCCTCCAGTCGCGCCAGAAACTCCTCAGGCGAAGCGGGAAAGGGCTGTGTTCAATGCGGTCAAGTTGGAAATAGGATACCACCGATTCGGGGTACCCTAAAAACAGACCCGCCCAAATCAAGGACTCAAAAGAGAGTTATTGCTTGAGCTCCTTGGCTCACTACTCGACTCATCAGGACCACTAGACTGCTTAATCCAAATGGGTGCCCGAATTGAGTACGAGGCATGAGCAACATAACAGAGTCCAACAGAGCAGCAATCTGTCTGCAATATGTTGAAACCAATTTTGCAATCTTGTCGATTGTTTGGGCCTAGTATGCCAAGCCCACGTCTCCTTGCCGCACTGTGGGTCATCATCCTCCTTGATGACCTCGAGACAGCTCCAAACGGATCTCAATCCAAATCAGGACATCACAGGGGAAACCACCAGAGGGCAACCCAGAGGCAACCAGAAAGCCGAAGCACCGCGAATGGAAGACAAGGATGAGCACAGATCAGCCCCTGTGAAATTACAAGTCAAAAGAAAAACCAAGAAAAAACAGCCATCTTTGACAGGAGTCACTGGATTCCCCAAACCAAAAGTTGATTGGTCGGTGTCCATGAAATCACCACTAAAGAAAAGGGATTCGACAAAAGGAAAAGGGATCCCTGGAGCCCAGGTTCGCTGAGATGACCCACATCTCATGCGCGAAAGTTAAGTGCCAAACCGCAGGTTTTAGTCTACTTTTCCATAGGGATGCATTTTGGAGCCCCCGATTTTTGAGCCACATCCAAATTGAGTAGGCTGTTGTCAGGAAGCCAACTTAAGCTACTACATCGGCTAAAGGCTTTTGGAGATAGAAATAAAGGGTTTGCGTCATCGGTCATCGTGTAAGTGCATATCCACTGTTATTGCCACGCGTCGATGTGCAAACACGGTACTCGTGGCTGCTTGTTAGCGTAGGTGACCCGTTGAACTACAGGTTGCGCTGACAAATGGAAAAACCAAACTAACCGATCAAGAGGACACCCATGTTTTTTAAGGTTGCGCCCTTGGTCTTCTGATTGGGCTGTGACTGTCCCTAGGGCGCCCACTGTGCTTCGCTTGCGTTTGTGCTTGCTTGCTCGATCCACGGCGACTTGCTTGGTAGAATCACCGCGCACCAAAGCATGCTCATGTATATCAATTCGCTGCCATGGGGCTCATGGAATGCCCGGGCTTGCAGACTTTGCTGGGAGCGTGCGAAGAACTGCGCAAAGCTTGCGTGAATAAGATTGGCTGTTCTCCGAAGTCCTCTATGGACCTCGACCTAGATAGCTCTTGGCTGTACCAGTGATTTGTGTGACGAGCGTGAGGCAAAAGAGCATGGGAAGCAGCCTGCCAATGGGGGAATTGCTCTGACTGGCGCACGTTTACGGCCAATCGGGCCGTTGCTTTTGGGGTGGCTGTTAAAAGGAAACCAAAAGGAAAACCAACATTTCGGGGGCCTGATTCCAAGAAAACAAAGAGAGAGAGAGAGAGAGAGAGAGAGAGAGAGAGAGAGAGAGAGAGAGAGAGGGAGAGAGAGAGAGAACACGCCCGCCCACAGGCGCATGGCACACCAGATTTTCTTTCTTTCTAACCAACCCCCCGCCCGTCTGATGGCCTGCCAGTGAAAATTCACAAAGCCGTTGCCGGGCGAGGCTTTGGCCTGGCAAAGTGGCCAAGCCCGGCACGCCCCTAGCATGCCAAAAGAATCCATTGGAACAAGTAACCCCTTGGATGAAATTCATGAAAGGCCCCTGAATATATGGGTGCCTCTTTTTTTGGGGCGAAAGAAAACCCCTGTTGGTTTTACAAGGGAATCCAAGAGGAAGACCGCCATGTTGGGGCTCCCCGAATAAGAAAAAGAATCACACGCCAAACTGTGTAGACATGGCCACAGGGGTGGCATGCCGCACTTTGAATTCAAACCCAAGCGATGCCGCCGGAGAATTTGGTTTGCGAGGCCACGACTCTCTCCTTTCGTCGCTGTTGCTCGAATGCTGCAAGGTTGACTTCACGCCTCACAACAAACGATTGTTTGAATGATTTGTTTGTGTTTTATGTTTTGTTTTGTTTTTGCGGACCCTCGGACCCCCTCCCCAACGACTCCGCAGACTCAGCCCAGGATCAAGTTTATTGCTCAGGAAAATCAGACAGTGCGCCAGGTCGAAGGGGAAATTGGTCGAGCCGCCAAGAGATGGGTCAACCATCAATTCCATATCTTCCATTTGCTCAAGCCCGCTAAAGAAACAAAAAAATGGTCCAGTTTTGATAGATTCCCTTTAAAACCAACGAGGGAAGATTAAAACATGTTCTTAAGCAAATGGAGGCTCCAAAAAACTGTTTGACCCACCTTTAGAATGTTCTTGAAGGGCAAGCGGAAGGTAAGAGTCTGATATGCTGACGCGCCTATTCGAAGCACTTCAATCCAAGGCTTGGTTGCTTCGACTCCCGAGCTTCGCTTTCTCTTGATTTGTTAAAGGTGAGTCGTTGCCCTTCCCTAAAACACCACACAGTCAAGCCAGCTCAGTTAGCTGGTGCGCGGGGGGGAACTAGCACGCATGCTGCGAACGGAAGTTGCCCGCGGCCTTTGACCCTCGTCTCAAGCCAGGTGTTGCATGCCAACTGCCGATCTAGGGTTGGTCAAGCCGCAAAAGGTTTCTCAAGGGGTCCTCAGTTTTGCAGATCCTCCAACCTAATCCCTTGCACATCCCTTGCGCAAACCTGGATACCGAGTTGCTCCTCCTGCTTCTCGCTTGCGTGTTTGATATATGTCCTATAACTCCCATTCCCTAATCTTGACCCCTGGTTCGAAAGAAGTCCCAGCTAAACAGGGGGTCCCCCTACAAGAAAGGATTCCCCACTAAAAAGGGGAGCCTTGACAATAAGAGGGGGGTTTATGAATCAGCCTGGAAGAAAGGCTTCCCCACTCAACTGAGCTGTCCTCAGATCCCCTTCGTGGGCAAAATTCGCGAAACCCAACCACCAAGAAACCTAAAAAGATCTCAAGCCAAGGAGCCAAAGGGACGGCTGGGAGCCACCAAGTAGCTGGAAGAAAGGAGTCCCCACCAAACCATTCCTAAATCTTGACCCCTGATGTTTAATAAAGTCCCAGTGAATCAGGGGGTCCCACTAAACAGGGACCCACCCATTTTTGGTGGGGGGGCAAACAAATTTCAACCCGGCGTCCTCCGAAAGCCGAAAGCTCAATGGGCACCGCCGCTTTCGGGCCTTCGCTTTGCACTTGGGCGGCGCCTTCGGAGCACCTGCCCGAGAAGGACCCAATCATCACCCCCGGACCTCAGTTCAGTGGCCCTGGAAAAAAAAGGGGAACCCTTTTTTTGGGTTCAAGCACTTTTGGTGGGCCAGCCACCCAAAAACAAAAGGAGAAAGAGTTGGTGCCACCGAGCAACTGAGGAACTTCTTTGGATCCGATCCCAAGCGGAAAGAAAAGCTGGGATCCCCGAAACATGAGGTTTTGTGGTAGAGGTGCTGTATGGAACACATGTCAGTGTACCCAGTTAATGGAAAAAATGGATTCGCCGAAACTGGGATCGCCGAAACTTGGTATGTTAGAAGTCATGTGGTAGACTGTTGCCAAGGGAGGCTTGGCATCTTGGCATCTTGGCATCCAAACGAGTCAACCCCCTCGGACTTTGTGGGTGCGAATTGTATGGGATCGACAGTCGCACAGAAACACCATCCAAGCCTTCGGAAGCTCATGAGCATGAGCCCAGGTTGTCATCTTGTGGCACCCTATACAAAACGCAAAGCTTTCAATGTTGGAATTCTAGGTCCTCCAGTACGGAGGTTAGAATTGGGATACCCCTTTTTTCCGTGGTCTACTTTTGTAGGGGAACCCTCCCAAGCAAAAAAGGGGTGAGAGATCGGGCACTACTGGGGGACCTAGAAATTGGTCTATGGCAAATGAACACACAGACCCCGTCACTCTCTGATCAGCTTTCGGCGACTTTCGAGTCAAAGCTCCCGGAAATTTCGGCCATGCGTCCTGCTAGTTGTGTGGGCACCCCTAAACTCGGTTGCTTTCTGCTCCCCAGCTAAAAGTGACTGACTTTTGGTGGTTTAATACGGAGAACCCATTAGTTGGCAAAAAGTTAAAGTCCTAACGGCCAAGCAAAATGCACCAAAGTAAATATTGCCACCTGAGGCTTGATGCAGCTTGGGCGGAAGGCCAAGCAAGAAGATACACATCCATCTGAAGCACTCCAGTATGGGCGCGTGTTGAAAGCACGTCAGCCACATCGAGAATCTGAAGTTGCACCCTCCCAATCTCTAATAGTTCCTTGACAAGAGGGGGAAGCTTCCCAGCTTCACAGATTGCCACGTCGACTCTCCCAGCTGCACGACTACAGTCTCCCCAGCCTTTGCCCTTCCCCTTGGCTGGCCTGGCGTCAGGTCCCACCCCTAGAGGGGCAGCCACCCAATGACCCGTGTGACACCGCCGATTTTTTTTCCAGATCCCCGTCTTTCCCACATGCTGACGCACACGAAAAAACCTCAACCTCTCCGAAGAGCGGCCTATCCAGCTCGAAGATTTGCTGCATTTGACTTAAGGTTTGAGTTTGAGGTTGGAGCATGTCAGCATTGGTACATGAAGTAGGCTTGATTTAACTTGTCGTCGGAGGTAAAACATTGAATGGGTTTAGGATTGATTTGGCTGACGGTTGATTGGGTGGGGTTAGCTTACGATGCGTTAGCTTAAATTAGAGTTGAAGGTTTGGCCTGCTGGGTTTAGAGTAAGATCAAGTTTCCGAAAGTATCCACTTGGAAAACAGCATAGCAGAAGGGGGAGCCCATTCAGGTTTGAAAACGACCCAACATGAAACTGGTCCGGGGCCCCCTCGCATAAGGTCACTCAAATATCAAGATTGAGGTGGAGTTGAGGATTGAGTATGGTTCACTATTCGGTCTAGGTAGGAACTTGGCTTTGGCTCAGGATGCCAACGATGGGTTTAAGGCTCAGTGCGTGGCTTGGCATCAATATGGAGTAGATTAGGGCTGGCTTAGGTTGAATCGAAGATGGTGTGCTCAGTCCAAAGGAATGCACAACTGTTTGCCCCTCCCTTCAACAATCAGGTAGGTGAACACAGAGCCAGCTGTGAATGATAAAGTCTTGCAGCTTCCCCTCAGAGTCCATCACTGTTGGAAGGAGAGCAGTCCGATCTAAAAGGACAACCGTGAGAATGCCAAAAGCGCCTAAGTCATGTTTGGCTGGCATCATGATTTGAGGCAAGTGGAAGGTTTTTGGCACCGACCCCAGTTGACTTCGATAAACCCAGACTAAAGTCGAACGAATGGCCCTGTTGATCCAAACGGAGGGCCAATGGTGCCCGACAGCCTCTCTACAGGTGCAGGTGCCGCAGCCACACTTTCAGGCCTCGGCGTGTCTACACAAAACTTGGACAAACTGGCGGCAAAACCTTACAACTTTGGTCATTTTTTGAAGGTTTCTTTGCAGAAGCAAAACGGTGCCCAATTTTATGACACCCATTATGTCGATGCCAATGCCACAGAAGCCAAGGCCACCACTGGACAACCACTTTGTTTCGAACCCCGCAAAAGACTCTGGCGCATGATTGCCCTTCTCTTTGTGCCAATCACCACGTCAACCTCTTATGGTATGTCATATCCTCACACCGACAGAGGTGGTGCTTCAAGCAATGCCGTTCATATCTATCATAGCGAAACAGGCTGTTTGTCCGTAGCGAGCTTTGTGCATCCGTGAAGCCAACAGTTGCCCTCAGAGCGAATGCTCACATCTTGCTTGCACATGGAACAACCTCGGGCCTGGACAATTTCCCCACAGCACAGATGAAGCCGTGGCTTCAATTACAAACACATAAATCAGAATTTCGGAATGACATGAGGCCTGGTTTTTTTCACGAGTTGGGCCTAAACTGCAGAGATGTCGGCTTGTCTCTTGCCAGCTTTGTGGTTCAGCCCTGAGCTACAGCTGTTTCTGGATCTGGTGTTGGCACTCATAGCGAGCCGCCCTTTTCGTCAGGATCCGATCGGCTGCTTTTCAGCCGCCTGGCAATGCGCCCGAAGATTCGGGTGAGTGAAGTGGAAAAAACCGGTGGAAACCCACCGAAGTCAACGCGTAAATTTCGAGAAAGTCGTCTTGATTGATTCCGTGTGCATCAAGTTGGTCGCGGATATTTTCCAGGCATCTTCATGTTGGGATCACAACCGAGACTGGCGGCTTGCCAGTGCAAAGGCCCATGTGAAAACCTGAATGTGGGAATCTCCGATGCTCAAAAGGGGCCAGGAACCGTGTTTGCAACCGAATCCATGGGGTGTTGATAAAAGCCCAACTGGGCTAGGTGTTTATTTGTATGAGAAAAGAAACTAATGATATTGATAACATTCCAACTGGGTTGGGCTTTATAAACACCCGATGAGCCTGCTGTTGGTTGCAGCCCAAGTTAACCCCTCAGCTGCAATCTGCTCATGCGATCTGTCTACCTTTCCCGCGCCTGGCGCCAGCTCCGCGGCAGCTGGGCAGTGTGAAACGGGCCCCAGGAGCCGTCCGGCTGCAGGTAGCCTAGCCAAGCGCTGCCAGAGGCGGCTCATGTCTTTCCAGAGGGGAGTCAAAGCTGATCTCACAAAACACCCTCAGGGTCAGGTCCCTGCTGGAGGATATCCATTTGCGTTTTTGCCCCCTGGAAAGAACAAAAACATGTCAAGTTAAGAGTCAAGTAGTCATAGATTCCCTTTAAAGCCAACAAGGGACAAGAACAAATATGTTTAAGCAAATTGGAGATATTTGCTGTTTTTTGAACTTGGTGGGTGTGCAATTCGGCAAGGACAAGTAAATCTTTGAACTGCCAGACCGCCAAGCTGACACAGCCGATAGAAGTGGTACATGAAAAGCGTGCATCCCCACAGTTGTATGTTCTAAGCTATGTTGATGCAAGAAGCGGCACTCCCGCAAAAGAAAGCTTGTTGATGTCCGGAACCTCCGATTTCCTTATGGTAACAAGAACTGTGGCTGCTTGCATCTATGTTCAAACAGTTCAATGCATATTCGAAACGTGCAAAACATGACCCATACATCACGACACAGCACCGGGCAAACTACGCTGAAATTTAATTGGCCGCTGCGCAGCATAATGCTATGACTCACCGAGCTCAACGCAACAGCTCACAAATGCAAACAAAACGCAACCCAAAGAAACAAACACTCGATCCAACTCATCCAACATCCAGCACCGCAAGGATGTCAACGCCAAAGATTGAACAAAGCACTTGGTCATGACAAATCAGACTGATGTGGCTGTGTCTCAAAACGGGCCATGTGTAAAAATAGGTTTGTCCTTCTTTATTGGATGTTGCCCAGGGTTCAGCATGTCAGATCCCTAGGTCCCAAATGGCCAGGTTCTCGCCAGCGAGCCGGAGCGCGCTGTGACCTGTGTCAAATCCACCTGTGCACTCTCCAACCCCCAACCCCACCCCCAACCCTCCCTCCCCCCAAACCCCAACCCCACCCCCAACCCCACCCCCAACCCCACCCCCAACCCTCCCTCCCCCCAACCCGACCGGCCTCGCAAATCCCACCCCAACCGCCTCAACAACCTTCTTACCCAACCACCCCAACCGCCCCAGCCGCCTCTCTCCGCCGGGCGGTGGGGCGCAAAACACGCCTTCGCCAGCTGCCTTCCAACTGCCTTTCCAAGAAACGCCCAAGGTGTTTGCTTCTCCTCGTGGCGTTTTTTTTGAGGAACCACGTTAAGATACGCATATATATATATATGCATACGCAAAAATATTGTATATGCATCTGTGATTGGATGGGCTAGTGTGAATTCTAAATGAAGCAGCTGCTGGCCAAACTTCTTGTTTCATCGGGATTTGCAGGAGGCGATCTTCAAACTTCTACATATGTGCCCTGTGCTCATTATTATTAACCTCTTCCTGACACCAGACATTCAATCTGGGCTTGACTGCAGGGAAACTGTTGCGCTTGAGGAAATCAGAGGAATCTGCGCGATCCAAACAGACATGAGGAATGTGTCCGATGCCAACCAACTAGGTCTTCCAGTAGAGAGGTTCGAATGAGGGTACCCTTTTTGTTTCTGTAGTCTATTTTGGTAGGAAAACCCTCCCAACCAAAAAAAAGGGGTGAGAAAGGGCACTACTGGGGGACCTAGCCAACGAACAGCTATCATGCATGTATGGATCAACAATTGCATAGTCGGATGCCAGCGCCGGTGAGACGCAGGCCAACAAGCGCAACGGACTATCCAAGGGCACTGGAAAAGTCCCTGCAACGGCAGCAGGCACCAGTGAATCATTAAACTGTGCGCGAAAGCATGCCTTTGCGCGCCCGCACACACACAAAGTTTGTTCCTAGGTGTCCAAACTAAGCCACCTGCAATGTCACGTGCCTGTGGCAAGTGCATTTGCTCTTGCACTAGGTCCTCCAGTGGAGAGGTTAGAATAAGGGTACCTTTTTTTCCCGTAGTCTATTTTAGTAGGGGAACCCTCCCCCAAAAAAGGGGCAAAAGGGCACTACTGGGGGACCTAGTCCAGCTTATCGCAGCAATGCTGAGCCAGAACCATAAAAAACCCCATAAGTACAGTTAAATCCATTCAGGATGAATGCTAAAACTGCAACTCGAAAGCGACCTTCTTCTTGCGCCATTTCTGCTTGCTCTCCGGTGTCGGCTGATTCACGTCTCCACCAGAAAACTATGAGCGTCCAGAAATCGCGCGGAGGAAACTCAAAACCCAAAAATCCACCAGCTCGACGTTCCAACGATCCACGTTGGGAAAGACTTCAGCTTGAGCCCAGTTGCCATTTAACGGGCGGCAGTATGCCTGACCTCATTTGCATCTGATCGCGCCAAACCCAAAAGCAGGCATGCTCACATTTGCCCACACTTGCCCACAGCCATTGTTTTGTGTTGTTCTCATCCAACAAAACAAACACACATCCCCAAACGGAGCCCAAACAACGGAGCCGAAAGCGGGAGCCACAAACGCCAAGCGCCCGCTTCGATCTGCGGCCTGCGCCTGCAGCACTTTCTTGCGGCCCGCCAGGCCCAGCTTCGGCTCCAGGTCTTCAGCCCATCCTCGGTGCGCGGACGAAGGCGGGTCCCGGCGGCCCCGCCTTCGCCCGGGGAAAAAATGGCGTTGGCCCTCCCACCCTTCGGGAACCTGGTATTAAATTGGTCAATCCCCAGAACCATGTAAAGAATTAAGAAGGCGGCCGCAGCTATTTATAGTCTTGGTTGACCTTGAAAGGGGAGCAACAATTTAAACTTCAGCAGTTAAGTGGTTGGATTTCAACCACTAAACCACAATAAGCGAACATGTGAAATGTTTCCCAACCACAACCATGTTGTCAGAGCGGGAACCTGGTCCTACCCCTGGTCAAGGTTCAAGTTGACGGGTGGGAGGGTACCGCCCATCTCCAAAAGGATGGTCGTGGGCTAGAAAACGGGAATAGGGCCGCAGGCAGTCAGGCTCGCACCCGAGATCTGCCACGTCCAGGCCACTCCGTTGCTCACAGTTGTTTTTCCTTTTTGTTGTTTTTCGACTTTGAACTGCTGGCTGAGGACTTTGCTACGTATAGACTTGCTTTGTTTGAAGCTAAATACACACAGAGTCTCAGCTACAAGCGAATGCATGACCTCGAGCATTTCGACCAGTCGGCTTGGAAATCAGTGACGTGTAGCACCTGGACGCGTGACAATAAAAAGGCTGCCGCTGCATGTGACGATGCTCTCGTGTTTCTTCTGTGCGGTGCGGCTCCAAAAGCCGTCGAGAAGGCAGCAACATGCCAAGCATGAACACAGAGGACCAGAATGAGAAACACATATGGCATCATATTCCGGGATGCATGCCGGGAAAAGGCTCGCTTGCTGTCTCAATCGTTGGCTGCTTGTTGCAAGCCCAGCAGACAACGTGTGGAAACAGGACACAATGGTCCTGATGGGAGGAATCGGAGGACGCTACACCCGTTTTTCGAGTCACCTGCCAAAGTGGAAGCGCTCAGCTACCTTTTATATGGTACATGAGCATTCATGAAAGGAAACAACAAAAGGCGTTGCAAACATGAGCATCGGCCCAGTCTGTTTCAAAAGGAGGAGATATACCGATATACCGATATACCCCGACAGAATATGCAGCCCTTATGCCTTAAGGGACAATCAGAATGGGACCACTTATCCAAGTAAGGCAAATCCCAGCCACCATTTCTTGCCATTTGACTTGCTCATTTACAGTGCCAGCGACACTTTTCACTCAAACACTTGCGCAGGTTCTTCCAGGGCGCAACCCGTCTGCATTTTTCCTATACTTCCAAAAGCTGCATTCAGGGATCTCCAAGTAAAGAACCCCAAGGTCATGCAGAGCCCGCGGCCTACCCCCGAATCGTTCAATGAATGCAAAAGCGTGGTTTTCAAGACGGTGTTCAACTACTTGAGGTTGTACATCCATTCCTACCTCTCTTAGTTGATTTGAGTGAGCTCGCGATAGAAGAGGCACAACCCATCTCCCCTCCCCCCTCCGCATCCAGCACCAGCCGCTTCTCGGCAGCTCCGAAGTGGCACGCGGCTTCAGCGGCACCGAGCGCTGGCGCACGGCGCGCGGCATGGCCGCCGAATCCGCCGGAGTCGCGGATCCGCGGAGTCCGAGAGCTCGGGGGGTTCAAAGAGCCTTTTTTGAGTCTCTGCCGTGAACGTGTGAGACATCACCCACGAAATGTCACGAAACCAAATGTGGGGCTCAAAATTAAGCAGGAGGGGCAAACCGCAGGTTTTGCTCCATGTTTCCACTTTCCAGGGTTCCATTTTGGTACCGGCTTTCTGAGCCACCCACAAATAACATCAGGCTCAAAGGAAGGATCTGTCTGACAACCGTCTTGCCCCAAGCCCTTTGCGCGACAAACGTGTCTCGATAGTTGTCCATCAGTTGCCAACCGCCAAATCTCTTTCCGACGGCTCTCCAGCCACATACATGTTCTATCAAAGTCAGGCCCTGCCTGCCAGCAAGCTTGAAAAGCAGCACCTGACCTTCGTACACAAAAGGACACAAACAAGAGAGAGAGGGAGAGGTGCCAAAAGGCACCCATCATGTAGCTTGACGGTGTCGTCAGTCTGAGTTCCTGGCGTTTCCGTCCTGGCCAGTTCGTGTGGCCGGTTTGCTTGGTGCCCCATGTTTCGAGAGGTTCTTGCGCCAGCGCGGCGCCTTCACTAGGGTTGGTCAAAGCTTCCCTGTGTCGAGGCTCTGAAGCAATCAAATTGCTTCATCCCACAAATGGCGACTGAACTCAACCAAAGGTACAAGAACATGGAAGAACATTGTTCAATGACCAGCCTGGCACCTGTCTTGAAGCAAAGTGACCAGCAAGAAGCAGCTTTTGAAACACTACGTCTTTGGTAACATGTGCCCTAAGAAAGTGCCAAACCACATTGACATGGAAACACGCATGGCTCTCCAGTGTGACCTTGCCTTGCCGCATGGCTACAAGAAAAACCGGTCCTCAAGCCCACATCGCTGCTGGAGCGCGAGGAAGGATTGGAATTCTGCTCCTGCGGCTCAAAGCGCTCGACGAAAACCATGCCACGGAAGAAATTTGGTTGGAGGAAAGTGAAGGACCAACCTTCTGCCCTGCTTTGGCCATGTTTTAGGAATGACCTGTTGAACAACACAATTGCCTGCTGCTTCGCGATTCAGAATGCAGCATGCCCTGCAGCCCATGAGCTCCTTGGAAGCTTGCCGCATGTCTTGGCGAAGGTCGACCCTGTGTCATGTTTGAGGGGTGCCCTTTTTTGTGGGTTGGAAAGGCATAGGAGGGCCCCCTTTAAAACAAAAACACGCACACAGAGACACACACACACACACAAAGTGATGGCGATTCCCTCCCCCAAAAAAATGAAGGATCCCCTGTGGCTCAGGCCACTTCCGCTGGCCTCACCCCTGGCCCTGACTCCGAAATCCTCGCCTTGGTGGCGCTAGTGCTCTCGCCATCCTGCCGGAAAGCGGCGGGGTGTTTGCTTGAGGCCTAAGTTGGTGGTGTTCCAGGGGTTGATTCCTTTTCCATTCTTTTCAACCATCGTTCTTTCCAAAAACCGGCCGTTTTCCCTGGGTGTCCGGAGGTTTGCTAGAAAGAAGGATCCCTGGAAAGAATGGGGAAGGTACCCCCGGAGGTGTGGGGATTTGAAGCCCTGGCTTTTGTGGAGGATACATGGGAAACTCTTCCATAACCAGACCACCAATCCAAACCACCGATTGGAGGGAGGCTGACTTGAGGTTGACGCCAACCAGTTATTAATAGGGGGGTGGGGCCCCTCCAAAAGTGGTCTGATTCCAGGCACATTTCACCCAGGTTGACAACCCCCTGGTGAGAAACTAAGAAACTGGGGTTCATCAATATGGGGGTCATTAGCTGCTTCGTGGCCGAGTTGAGGGCACTTAGGTCAGGGGTCTCTTTGGCTAGGACGTGGCAAGATGTGGGCTGAGACAGCCGAGGGGTTGAACCGGAGAGTCCAGCGGCACCAAATTCCTCCAGCACATAACCGCATAAAACAGGCGTGTGACTGGTGCAAAGGACAATCCAAACATTTTTCATGGTTTCCCTGGAACTTGTGAATCTGAGTGCATATCTGGGTGTGTTTTGTTTGGGGTTTCGGGACCCCCAAGAATGGCAGCTTTCCCTCCGACAGGCCATCTGATCTGCTCCCACGCGCACGCCTCGACAGCTTCCTGTGCACGGTCCGCGCGCGACCTGGCAACCGCCGGATTGGAATCACTGCGTCCATGAATGTTTGTCACCCGGGGAAAGTGTCTTTGAGGGTGCCCTTTTAAGGGATGGTCAAGGGAAAAGACTCGAACCGCCCAAATCTTCGCCGGCCGCTCCCCAAGTTTCGGACGTCTCACCCGCGCATTCCCCTCTGGTCAAAAAGAGCTGGTCATCCTTCACCTGCAACCAGAATGGCCACAAGTTTTCAGAGTTTACATAGATAAGAAGCCCATTTGCTCAGCTTCAGGCTGTATGGGGTGCTGGCTCTACGTGTTCTACGCGCTTCTACTCTCGAGTCTCGCGCTTTTGCGCGAACAAGGCCGAAGTGCGAGGAGCTTCCTGGCAGAGTCGGGGCTCGAAATGGCCCAGGAACGAGACGCAGTTCCACTGCATCTGTGAAAAGTCCGAGAAAAAGCGCACTACAACGCTTTCGTGCCAAGCCGTGCGGCGCGTCTTGTTGAAAAAGCGCCCTTTACAGGTTGGTTCACGGAGAAATGCAGAGGAACGTCACAACTCTTGGGTCCACATATGTGACAAATACCCATACTATGTCTCAACGGGCGAATCAAAAGCGCCCAAGTCTCTGCTGGCAAAAACCAATTGCTGATGGAACCTCTGAGATTGTGTCCATGTTTTCTCAGCCGATAACTCAACCGGCTTCAGAGCTTGCAGAAAAAAAGAGTTTTGTTTGGCCGGTTCAACCAGCCAACTTAACAAGGAACAGTTGATGGGCTCCAGCCTGCGACTCTTAAGCCTGCGATATTTACCGCTTGAAACGTGCCCGACCGCAGTAAAGGATCACAAAAGGCCGAATTGGGCTCGGCCTGAAAGGCTTTGACAAGGATTGAAGCAAAGCACTAAACGCTGCAAGTCGCCCTGGCATGTTCTGCGTTGCACAAGACCCCCCTTGACAACAGGCAGAATGTTGTTGGGAAAACAAAGGAAGCTGCACTTTTGCGGCAAACATCCTTGCGTGGCAAAAAGGCAGCTTTGCCTATGCTCGCCAAACATACAGCAGTCTGTTTGGAGAACCGTTGGAGTCTATCCTGAGCATCACCAGGGCGATTGCAATCCTTGATTCAGGAATACCCCCTGAAGTCAAAGGTGTGTGTGCAGGGGTGAATGGTAGCCCACCACCTTGCTAAAGTACAAACAATCTGCTCCAAAGGAGCCTTTCTCATGCTTGGCATTGATCTACGTCCCGGTGAGATCGCCACACCTCTGCGAGTGCCGATACACAACCCGGATGGGAACGTGAAAAACCGCCTTCCAAGAACTCAGCGGGTCACTTCTCGGCACTGTCGCGGGTCCAACAATCACCACAGACCTTCGCAAGGTCCTTCGCAAATATCCAACACAAGAGCCCCAAACTTAAGTAAGCCAGCGCCGAGAACTTTGACACGTGAGCATGGATAAATCGAGACTTGCCGCAACTCTACGCTATTGTTTATTTTTCTTGCAGCTATCTCCCGGTGAGGCCTCCCGCCACAGTGGCCTTAAACTGGAGGCTGATCCAAACAGACTTCTGCTTCGAATGTCGGACCGTGCTGCGCAGAACCCAGCTGACAAAAGCGGCACCAAACAAGCTTTTGTGCCTGGATTGCGAACAACAAATATGAGTGTGTCATGTTTGAGGATACCTTTTTGGGGATGATATGGATGATTTCAAAACTAAAGGAGCACCGCCATTGGGACCCTATTTTCAGAAACATCCATCTGGCCATATGGCCCACTGCGCGCCGTCGTCATGCGGAGAGAAAACCCCTTCAAAGCGCCCCTTTTGGCAACAAGAGCACACCCTCTCGTTTTTTCCTGGAGAGATCCGGCAAGGTCCAAGAAAGCATCTGCTTTGTTGGGGTCATCTGGCCTGGCTGGCCTGGCTGGCCTGGGTGGCACATGCCAGCTCTACCTCTTCCGAGTCTGCCAGCCAAGAGGCGACGTCCGCGGGCACTCTCCGACTCCTTTCCTTCGAGGACGCGCACGGCGGAGTGCGAAGCTGACTGGAGCCGGGAGCAGGGGCCCGCGCTCGGCGTACAAAACCCGTCTCCTTACACCGGCGAAGTGCCCCTCGTCGTGGCAACTACTGTTTTGGATTACAAAGCACACCCGACGCGATGTTCGCATGTTCTCAGCTTCCAAGACCGTGTTCGCATGTCAGTGTGAGTCTAAGCAGAGGAAAGACTCCAGCCTCATTGTTCCAGTGTTTGGCACGGAACCCAGCCACTAGCCACAGAAGGATGCCAAACACAGCCTCAAAATGGTCTCGCTGGAGATTTCAATCTAAAAAACACTGGTTTGGGGTGGTTCCTTCCGCAGGATAGTCTTTCATTGCCTTACTTTTTTGGGATGTATTTCAAATTGGGACCCCTAAAATGACGGGTTTTCCTGTGGTCCCTATCAAACACCCTAAAAGAAGAACAGGAGCATTGCCAGAGCAATTCGAGCGTCCAACACCCTCTTCTCCACTTCCTGCGCAAGGCTGCGAACGCCAGCCGGCTTGGCAGGAGCGCTTGCAGCACCTCCCATGGCACTTGAACTAAACCTCTTGGGCCGAAGTGGGCAACGGCTGAAGGCGAAGAACCCTTGGTGAATCATAGTGCGGGGGGGGGCCCGGGGGGCTCTGAAGTAGGAACACCGACCAAGTCATGGGGAACGTGCTCTGAAGTGGGAACACCTCCAGGTGGTTGTTTCCTTATGGGGCCTCACCGACCAGGTGGTTTCGGGGCCCTTTAAACCTATCCAAACAAGTGGCCCGTATTCTGGGACAAAGCTGAACGGGCGGTTCTGCAGAAAACCAAAGGCCAAGTGAAGTGGATCGGCCAGTCAGAAACGGGGGCTGGGCGGCGTTCTCTGAGACATGTCTGCAAGACATAGACCAAAGATACAAAGTCCCCTGGCAAGGGACATTCCTTGTTTTACCCCAGCTCGCCATGATTTGCCTAGAAGCGTTGCCCATTGCGTTGATCTCAAGAGCTTCCATTAAAACAAGAGAAGGTGGGGGGTGGGGAGGTGAGGCCAAGCTGTTTCAAATAAATGGAGCAACTATAGGATGCGGCGCTCTGCCTGCGCGCCTTTGATCTGCGTTCTGAATTTTCTTTGACATCAGGTAGACCCATCACTTGATACGTGCCTGGAACCAAAAGCAGGTCTGCCAGCTACGCTCGGGTGTGGAGGCTGAGTCGTCCTGCCCTTGGTGACGTTTCACCAGCTGGTCTCCCGAGCCAAGAGGGGCGCAACAAAACGTGCATACCTTCGGACTGTCTCAAGCTACGTGGCTACGAAGTCCGGCAATCGTCGTGAGAAAGAATCTTCATGCGGATCGTTTAAACCGGCTTCATCGACATCGGCTCAACTGCATGCGGTATCATGATGGGCTTGCAGCACGTAGGCGCATTTCGCGAGGAAACATTGCAGGTAAGTAAGATTGGAGGATAGGCCAATCACCATCCGTGACAAAAAGCTCTGCACGTGGACATTGGTTTCGGTGACCAGCACCCAAACAGCCCGAAAGTGTTTTTGCTTTTGCCCAACATGGTGTTGCTTGAGGAGATCCAGTGACGCCATCTCAAAGACGCGGAGGGTGCAAAAGCTCGCTACAAGCGATTGCGTTTCAGGCCCCGATCCGAATCAAATCGGCTGCTCTTCGTGGGGAATGGACAGAAAAAGGCGGCGGGGGGGGGGGGGAGCGGAGGCTCTGCGCGTTTGGACTCGAATCCAAAGAACCAATCCGTGGCTCTTGAAGTTCAACCTGAACTGTTGCTAGGTCCTCCAGTAGAGAGGTTAGAATAAGGTTACCAACTTTTTTCTGTAGTCAATTTTAGTAGGGGAACCCTCCCAACCAAAAAAGTTGGTGAGAAAGGGCACCAATTGCTGGGGGACCTAGGAAGTTGAGTCCCTCTTGGACCTTGAAGCGAACTGGACTCTCTCTCCAAGCTGCAGCTTGGAGTCTGCCGACACGATCCGCGCCTGGTGCACGCCGCCTTCGCGGCCAGCAAGGCCTGCGTTGAAACAACAGAACAAGGACATGCATTCATTTGCGAGAATGCGAGAATGCGAAACAAAATCTGGAAACAAATGAAAAGATAAGACAAAGGGAATGACCAAAAAGTGAGGAATAGAACATATTCGGACGAAATCTCGTTAACATTGTACATAATCACAGTCCCTAGAGATCTTTTAGCATTAGATAAAAGACGTGTACTGGCAAAACATAATTCACAACGACCTGGAAAATAGAAAGCTCCCCTTGCAAATTGACCTGGAACCTGAAACATGTGGGCTCCCCAGAAGGAGATGGAGATCATCGTCAATTGGGCATATTTTTCTACGGCCCTTCAGCCAAGGCCCAGCCGAAGCGGCTATCGAAGCTCTGAATGCGGGAGATGCGATGGCCTCTTTGCTCTTCCGCAGCCGCTGCAGCTCTGCCTCTGGCAAAGCTACAGTGTGTCTGTGGGTTTTGTTTGTGGGTACCCCTTTGGGCCGGCGGCGGGGGGGGGGGGGCGTTAAAGGGGAACAAAAGGACAACTAGCATTTTTTCCGGTTACCATAAAGGACGGGTTGGGGTCCACGGTTCCAGTTTAAGTTGAGCTCTGAATCGACAGAAAAGTCCACGTGAATCCAGGGTGTCACTACAAGACTGCGGGATTTTAAGGGTATGAATACCTTCGAGAATGACTGCTGCCAATATCGCCCAAACCAAAAGATGAACCGGGCATTTGCAACAATTCTAGGGGTACCTTCCCCATTCTTTCCAAGGATCCTTCTTTCTAGAAAACCACCAAAAACCCTGGGGGAATGGCTGATTTTCGAACAGAACGATGGCTGAAAAGAATGAAAGCGGAATCAACCCCCAGAAAAATATGAAAGGTGCATGCGGTCTTTTGCTCACGCCCACCACTCGCCAGGCACATTGTCATACTGCACAGCCAGCAGCATGTCCTGGCAGAGTTGATCCAAGCCATCAGGACTCATCAGTGAAGCAAAAACATGTTTGCCCCATGACTAAGGTGGACTTGAACCTAGGGGTTTTCCTTTTTCCCAAAACAACGACCCCGAAGGGTTTAAGTCTACACTAGTCCAAAGCAAAAGAACCTCCGTCATGAACCCATGTCGGACCTTGGGCTTGCATCAAACGATCCAGAATATGCTGAACTATGAGTGTGTCAAAAGGAAAAACAGAAATCTAAAGCCCAGGTTTCCACTGTCAGAACGTGCTAGGATGACCAATTGACAAAGCAAGACGGCGTCGTTCGGACCCGTCGCACGTTGCAAGGGGACCGGAGGGCTGATGCGATGGGCGAGGATGACAATTGGATTTTTTTTTTATCCTTCTGAGGGATTCATTACCCTCCCACCAATTAACATGGAACCTGATGTTCGGGGACTCCTGGAAGACCATTTCCTTTTGAAAGGACGCCCTGTCAGGTTCCATGTTTATTGGTGGGAGGGTACATCCTTTATCAGGATTCAGATGTGCCAATCTGGTGAGCGGAATCGTGTGGGAGGATGCTGTTCATCTTCTCCGTCACGGTTCTACAACAACTTCATGACATGTTTGCACGCGCGTTTTTTCAGAGCAAATGGTTCCACTCTCCAACTGAGTCAAAAAAAGTGTGCAACACGTTCATTGTGTTGTGGTGTAGATGTGAAGCCAGGTGGACACCTACCTCCCTAGAGGGTTACAACCTCATCCAAGTTGGCCGAGTCTCCGAGCCCAGTCTATTCGGCACTCCAGTCCTGACACAACGGGTCCGCTTTGTAAGGCCGGCATAAACTAGAACTGAACAATAGCAAATGACCTTCGTTCTGGATGTGCCCCAAAGCCATGTGCAGTACACGATTCTTCGAAATGGGCAACATCATATTTCAAAGATTATTCAAAGGCCAGCGAAATGTGCTGCTTCATTCCGTGCTGCTGCTTGTACGTAAATATGAGCAGCCTGTCATCACGCAGTGTTGTCACCTACCAGTGACTGTGGCAAGAGATGAACGGACTTTCAGCTCAAACCACAACTACATGATCATCAGCAAAATGTGCTGTTCCGCACAGCTGGCAAGACAAGGCAAGCAATATGAAGCATATTCTGAGGCCAAGCTCCTTGGATCCAACGTGTCAGTCAACAGTCTTCCATTCTTGGAACTCCGTTGGTTTCAGCGACGCTTCAAGGGCCAAGGGCAAAAAGGTTGAGCTTCGTGAGTCAGAATGAAACCCTGGCATTCGAATGGTCGAATCAAAAGGCGGCTATCCGCACCCATTTATGGTTGGGATTGTCCCTTACAAAACCCTCATCTACCCGGGCTTTGATTGAGAACACTTGGAGGGTGGGCAGGAGATGAGGATCTGGGAGCTTGAGGCTGGGCGTCGTGTGCCATTGTTCCCCTTGTCCTGCACAAAAGGCAGCAGAGCGGCTGGCAGGCGTTGAGCTCGCCACTCCTAGGTCAATTGGCAATGGGTCAAAATCCCGTACCCCCAGTGAATATCCGAATCCCCACTAAAATAGATGAATTCACCTACCCCAAAATGGTACCATTGGATTTGACGCACAGCCAATTCAAACGAGCGCAGGGAACCTTCTGGCATCCGTCAAATGGAATCATGACACTACCCTTGCTATGCAGAACCCAGGACCCGGACCACACCCCGAGTTGCTTTAGGGTGGCAAAAGGACCTGTTTTGAGTCTCCAAAAACAAATTTCATCAGGACCCTGAGGGTGAATCTCAAAGATTGACTCCCGTCACGAACACATTCTACGGCCTTTGTTTGCTTGGCCACGCTTCAAGCCGATCCTCTTGGTTCCACTTTGGTCCCACAGCTTCTACCTTGCCCAGCTTCGACGGGTTCCTTGGGCAAGTAGTAGTCTGCGTAGGTAGCTGTATGTTCATCCATGTGTTGATTGATTCTGCACATTTCCCGATATTTGTCACTAAACTCGTTCTAGTGGGTCTCAGGTATGGTATACAAGGCACTTTTTCACCCTCACTTCAATTTGTGGACGGTGCAAGCTTGCCAGGCTTTGGTCCGAGCTGATCATTGGCGACTGCATCGTCGTAGAGGAATTCGATTTCCCCCAAACTATCCAAGGGGACAATTAAATGAGGCATCAGCGGCCATATGCATGTGTGTGTGTGAGTTTGTGCATGTAGATTGTCATGGCCCAAGATCTACCACTGAATACATATACATATACAAAAATATATACACACATACATGTGTCATGACCCACCTGCGGGTTCCTAAACAACAAAACACAAGCAGAGTTAGGAGTGTGAAACAAATGCCCGAGAAATGATTGGGACTGTGAAGCAGACGATTGAACTTCATACATACATATATATGTATATAGAGAGAGAGAGAGAGCGAGAGAGAGAGCGCTACATAAATATGTACACCCCATGGGCCTTAGAAAATACATTGGGGGGTAAATGGAAACCTCTCAGACATTGATAACTTTCATCTGTAGGGTGACACAAGTCACTTGTCATGGCCGGATTGTGTATCGGAAGGCAATGAGGGGCCAAGATGTTCTTCATTGATGCGTTTCATGCATGCTGGCTCCTTTTGGCATGTGAAGGGTCAATACATTTATGATATCAAATGAAGTTCTATTGTTCAAAGTCTACTGTCCCCATTATAGAGATCCTGACATGTCCTATATCACATGCGCCTGCGGATCCCGCATGTTCTCTCCCAGAATCCCCGTCCTCCACGTGCTGCTCAAAGCCTTGCAACCGAGTTCTATTCGATGCTGCATGCAGTGATCAGGGTGGGACGGGAATGACTTTTTCAAGCATCCCCTATCATCTTGACAATTATTGTAATTCACTCATGCTTGAACCAACATCACCCCCTACCACCATAAGGGAACCTGATGTTGGATGTTGATTTGCTAGCGAAACTCACGTTAACGGGGCTTTAGCCTCAACTCACTTTATACACACATCATTAGATCAGCAACATCTGATGCGTTGCCTCCGGCAACCTTCACACCAGCATTAACGACAACATAAGTGTGTGTGTGTGTGTGCGCAACTATACATACAGATACGTGCGAGCAGGAGTGCGTGCGTGCGTGCATGCGCCTGCACGGGCGCGTGTGCGTACGCGGCTTGGGGCTCTGTGTCAAATGCGATGGTTTGAAGAGTACAACAGCCATCTGCAGGGATCCCAAAATGATCCAACAGTTCCTGAGACGTCCCCAAATTACTCGTTTCATCCATGAACCTGCGCGCTCGGCTCGGCCATGATCCCAAGCTGTGTTGGCTCGACGGAGCGCAGAAATCATCGAAGAGAATTCGGCATCCTGGGCTTTACCTCCTGGGTTCTAGCGTTACATGATTGTCCTGCGGAAGCAGGAACATGTTTAGAAAACACAGAACCCGCGCAGGGTTTCCTGGGAGTGGGGCGTTCGGTGAGAATTCTCCGAGATTGCCAGATCCGCTAGCCTGAAAGAGCAAGCCAAAGCTTGCCCCTTTGACCACAAGGCGGTTCCCAATCGAAGCTGATGAGTTGCCCGGTCACCGCGGAACCGACAAAGAATCAGTGACACCCTCAAAAATACCAGAGGGAAACCCACACCCCGAAAAGATCCGAAACGTCGCCCTCAAAAGGACCATCAGTCAGAACATCGAATGCTTTTTGCAAGTTTTCCAGGAAGTCGCCAAATTCGCCCGGCGAACATGACAAATGCTTGAGTTCTAGCCATACAAATCCTGCGGCCGAGGCGACCAACACTAGAACTACGCAACAACAACAACAACAACAAGTGGTAAGTGTAAAAAAGGACCTGACCTAGGAGTTATCTTAGTTTTCTGTTGAACTTCCCATGTTTAAAAACACGCCAAGAGAACACGGGCCAATTCAATTTAAATTTGGTGTCCACTTTAGGCCCCCAAAAGATTTGTTGGTTTCCCGTTTTGCTTTAGAACTCCCCCCCCCCGAAACGGGTACTGCACAGGCCCCAACAGCGGCCACCGCAAGAAATTCCCCCGGGCACCGGGCGCTTCGCTTCCAGCGCAGTCCATCGTCGCGTGGCTTCCACCCGCAGCGCCAAAGCAACGTGCGATGGCATCGCCGGGGAGGCGCCTGGGATGCGAAAGCTCTGATCTTGCAGTGACCAGGTCCAGTAGAGAGAGGTTAGAATAAGTTGGTACACACTATTTTTTCTGTTTTGTCTATTTTAGTAGGGGAACCCTCCCAACCAAAAAAGTTGGTAAAAGGGCACTGCTGGGGGACCTAGGTGATCTCCAAAAATTGGTACCCAAAGTGGGTTGCCCTGGTAAATGGACTGGACAAAAATGGGTTCCCAAGATGGGTTGCCCTGGTAAAATGGACTAGAAACAGGTTGACTCGAACCCTCTGCGGTTCGCTGGTACTTTATGTTTGGCCCATCATGTTGACCCCATACAAATCAACGCCAGTTTTCTGAAGCCACACTAATCCAGGTTGACACCCTCCTGGATAAACTCCCTGAGTCAACATTTTACCCAACCGCCTAAGGGATCCCATGCGCAACACTAATCAAATACTAGCTGCGACAGCGTCCGGATAGTGATATCACAATCGCTTCAACCCAGCAGTCTGCAAAGAACACTCCGTACTCTCCGTTCCGACAACGTGCGGGAAACGCGCAGTGGCCATGCAAAAGTTCCCCAGCCAAAGCCCAACGTCGATGCCAAGCGCGTGAGGAGCCTGGAATTCATGCCAGCAGAAGCGGTACGACCAGTGTCACCTGCAATGCAACAGCAATAAAAGGAAGCAAATATCCTATGCGCCATCCCCTCAACCCGGCAGAGCCGCTGCACAAAAGCACCACCTGCATCGTGAAACAGGACCACCAGCATCAGCCAGCAACGCTAGCATTACAAACATTCCCGGGATCCTCATAAGTTGTGTGTGTGTGTGTACACATGTGTATATACACAGATATGTACAAATGTCACCATATGTGTTGTGTTTGTTTTCTGGTTGCCTGCTTGCTTGCTTGCTTGCCTGCTTGTTTGCATCTTGTTTGCTTGCTTGCTTGTTTGTTTCGGTTCACACATGAATGTGCATATATGAATATATTGCTTTATTCGCCTCGGCCCCGGGAAACTTACTGAGAACCCCCCACCCTTGTCACGCGGCCAAAATCCCTGCCCCAGCTGCCCTGCAGTCCACTTCAAGTCAGTCGCTGGCTCCACACCCAGTCCCTCTGAAGCGAGTTCTGACGGAAATGCAAGCTCGCTACGTGGAAGACGTCTTCTCATCCCAAATCTTTTCAGTCGGATGAGAGATGTACAACATACATAACGTACGTAACTCCGGTGTGCCCGCAGAATATGAAGCGGAGGGTAGACACAATGAAAGTTGACAGGTCACTTGAATACGTCAACACCGTTCCTTTTGCTTCAGCATTTTGCTGCTACGTCGAAACTTTTGAACATCTCCTTTACAGCTGCTTTGTTGCCAAAAATGTCGCTTGTCGTTCTGTCTCACAAGTAGCGCAGCCTGGGTTCATCCTGCAATGAAAAGGGCTTTTCCTTCACGGGCGTCCAGCGGCATGACGCAAGCTCGCTGCGGGAGCAACACTGCTTCCGTGTAGATGGCTCAAGTGGGTGACAGCAAGTTTTGCGGCCTGTTTCCTGGCTCCGCAACATGTCCAGCATTGCCTGCGGCTCAGCGACTTTCAATTCAAGCAGCACGCAAGTCTCCCGTGCCCCACAGGACTCCAAATGCAAGTAATCGAAACTGATGCTGCCATTGAATGCCATGTCAAAAGTGTTGCGCTGGACTCTACAACAACTAGCTCCACTTCTCGCGCTGTCGAAGGCCGATCCAATTGCCTTGGCGAATTCACGCTGCGCGCCAGGCCTTGGCCGCGGACACGGCCGGCACTCACGCACTCACTCACTCACTCACTCACTCACTCACTTACTCACTTACTCACTCACTCTCACTCACTCACTCACTCACTCACCCACCCACCCACCCACTTACTCACCCACCCACTGAATCACTCACCCACACTTTTGCTTCGGCCCACGGCGCCCCGTATTCCTGGCCGCATCGTGCCGCGCCGCCTGGCTTCTGTGTCACGGTGGCATTTGGTCCAGCATGTACGCAGATCAAAACAAACTGGCAGAAGCACAAACAACAACATTTCGCTGAACGTCGATAAACACATTGAAGCCCAAGGACATTCTCCCATTCCACACTGCTAGCTTCTTGCACGCAGCGCTGCGTCGCTTGACTCCATGACTCGCACCTGTGAATTGCCACTTGGGCGCTGTTCTTCTTTTCGCGTTGCTGACGCTGCGTGCTGGGCTTGGCCGAGGCGGGCAACGCGAAGCGTTTACAATGATATGTATGTATACATAACGGGAAGCGTTTACAATGATATGTACGTATCCATATATATATATATATATATGTGTATACATATATTTATATATATGCACTGTATTTATATATACATATATGTATATATATATATATATGTGTGATCATGCAATTTGCAACAACCGATACACCAATGGTAGTTGACAATCGTTGTGTTCACAAATACACACATACATGTTTGTGACGATGGTTGATACCATCATGCGCAACATGCTGAACTTGACAGTGCCTGTCAACACGGCCAAGCGGCTCTGCATCTACACTGGCTGTGTGCAGTGTGTGCATGTGTGCACTGTCAAACGTGCATGCTGCGCTGTTCAAGTCCCTTGCATCCCGCGTACCCACACACACACACGAATAAAACGGGCAGCACACATGCCAAAGGAAAGCAGGACAAAAACAACAAAAGGACAAGACAATCATGCAGACACAAGAAGGAGTGTCTCATTCAGGAAAACCAGGTGTCACCTGGAGAGGCTAGTCCGCATCTTCCGCACGTCACCTCGCAACACTTAGCCAGGGAGCATAGCCCCCGTGGAGTATGCATCCACCAGTTGATGAGCAGCGTGATCCTGCATGGGAATACAAGGTCCTCCAGTAGAGAGGCACCAACTTTTTTCTGTAGTCTATTTTAGCAGGGAACCCTCCCCCAAAAAAGGGGTGAGAAAGGGCGCCTAGCTGGGGGACCTAGACAGGCTGTTTTCATCGAAGCTGCACCTGAGAATGGGTCGCCAGCGTCACCTTTCTGGAGATCCGCTCGCTTGGGGCTTCAGCTTCAATGGGCCTTCCGCGCCTGTCCCCGCGCTGCGGCACTTCCGGGTGGAGCACGCAGTGCAGGCGCGAGCCGGGGAAGAGCAAATACCTGGCAAGTGGCCAAATGGGTTTGGGTCCAAAACTGGTTGGTCACCCCAAAATGGGCTTTGACTCAAATCCAAAAGGTCTGGTGAAAGAAAATGTTGAATTTCTACCAAATGGCCCCTGTATGAAACTGATCTTCCCGGAAGACCTCTCCCAAGCTCCAGCAAGGCAAACCAAAAGCTGGGCTCATGCACTGTGAAAGCTATCAACACTGGGAGCCTTTTCAAACTTGCACCTCAATTTGTGACCTTCCCGTTTGGATCCATCCCCAGAAAGGTCTCTGGCAATCATACATCCCCTTCTTGGAATCTGTCAAAACTTGGATTTCGAGGCCCCTCGCAAAGGTGAAGCTGACCTTCGGAGCAAACACCCACAGGGCCCCTTGCTTGTCAAAGGGTGAAAACCAAAGCAGCAAACGCCTTGAGGCACGTCTCCTGAGACAGGGATGTGTTCTTTTTGCGGCGACAGGGATGCGGGTTCTCCCTTCCGACCTGGTCAATCACAATTTCATCTGAAGGAAGGGATTTGCAGGTAGGGGTTGAAGATTGAATAAATCTTCGCGCGGTGCTAAAACAGAGGTTTCAAGAATAGTTGAAACTGATCCATCCCATTTGGTGTCGTAGAGAAACTACAAATGGGCTCTGTAGCACCTGAACGACTGGCAAGGTATGTAATTAGCAGGCCTCAAAATTTTCAAAAACCTTACCTCCCAGTGGATGCAACATCAGCTAGTCTGTGGTTGCCACTTTCGATTGCCTCATGCTGGTGGAATTCTTCAGATCAACTGCCAAGCAGCCCAAGCGAGCCTCCTGTTGCGCTATACAAACCCTGGCTACATCGTGTCGAGGTATGTTCTGCTTATGGCTGTGAGGGGTAAGTGTGAAGCGAAACTGTTGAGATCACCAGGAACGCTTTGGTTGCCATATGATCCATGGGCAAAAAATGCTTCTCTGGGAAGCCGGCTGGGTCATTCATGGCTCCCGAAATAAAAAAACATTGTGGCTAAGGATCCTTAGGATGACCATCCCAACGACAACCCAAGCAAATGGCAAGATGTTGGTCTGCGTAGCGACACATGTTACACAAATGAATTACGTACGAGCAAGAGCCGAATTCCGAGACCTTTCGACCCAAAAACCTGTAAAGACTACCAATCCAGCCCAGGTCTTCCTAGTCTACCAGACCTTCCGCCCCAGGTTTTGGGGAACCCAAGGCCTCATGCGGCCCGGAAAATCCAGTTCGGCCGGGTCGGTTTTTTGTGCGAATTGGGCCCCGCCTGCCGACCCGCGGCCAAACCGCGAGTACCTATCCAGGAAAATGGTCCGGTGCGGAAGTGTCACCAAGATCTGGGTGGCTCGTTGGCTTTTTAAGCTGGTACCCTTTTGTGTGGTGGGTGTGAGGGAAACCAAAAGGAAACCACCACGGGGGGCTTAAACAAAGACTCTCCCATATACCATGTTGAAAGAAGTGTTTTAATATTTTGCACGATCCCCAAGTGATTGAGCCGAGATGTTTTTTTGCTTGTTTGTCATCTACAAAATCATCCCACTGTAGCTCACAAACCATGTTCCCCTCGCCCTACGTACCAGGCTTGATTGTTCCGGCAAAAGGCCTAGGATGTTTATGCGAATCAGTTGAATGATCCAGCTACAAGGAAGCGAACAAATTTCACTTGGAAGAGCCTCTGAACCTGTAGCTGTCTAAGACACGTCTGTTTAAACTCATGGCTTGAACAACTCCGGCCCCAGGCAACCTGCACATGCCAAGTCTCGCATAGCCTCAATCCAGCCGCTCTCCAATAGTTTCCGTTTTCAAGCAGCCAAGCCAACCATTTAGGTATGTCATGTCCGGGTTGTGGGGGACTCGCCAAAAATTGTGTCTTTCCTTTTGGCTGAGGTCGTTGACCGTCTGAGACCAATTCCGGGCACGTCGAGGCCACAGCCCTCCTTCTCATGGAAGACGGCTGTGGGGCCACCCTCGGCTGTGAGATAGAGGACGGAGCTCCAGGCCTTAATGAACTGCCAGGATTTGAGGTCGGCAATCGGTTACATTGACTCCATTTGCTTGAGTCACCTGGAAAAATAAAACTATGTCCAGCAGAGATAGATTCCCTTTAAAACCAATAGGGGAAAACAAAAAATATGCTTGACACTATGGAAGATTGGGTGCCACCTTTGGGTAAGCAGTACGAATCGGAAAGGATCCCACTGGCTATGGATGGAAATTAGCATGTGCCGATACACCTGCGTTTACTCAAGTTGCGATGCGCGTTTGTGACCTTGATGGGGTGGCGTATCATGGATCGTCGCTGTTGCAGAATCCACCTGCAGTGCCGCAACCCATTGCCAAAAAAGCAGAATCAATGTTGGGTGTGGCAACCGCCTGACCCCCACGAGCAATTTGGCAACTCGCGTATGATTTGAGATTATAGAGTTGATGACCAACCCTGACCAGCACGATCAACCATGTCATTGGTCAATTTCGGGACGGTGTGAAAAAAACATCCAGTAATCATCAATATAAACCTGCCAACACGAGGCTTATGCAAATCCCGTGTTCAAAATAAATCTGCCCGACTGTCTCTCTGCTGTCTTTCAATGAGACTCCGCCTGCCTTCAAAAGGCATGATGCAATCCCATCGTCCTGTAATCCCATTGTTCATGCATCTGTGTTGACACCGCAGGCACGCAACTTGATCAAAACATGCGGTCAGCAATCTAGCGTCGTCTGAAATGCACACCAAAAGACTCCATTGCAACCAACTATGCCAACAAAACAGGCCAAATGTGCGAAATCATGCTCCTTACATGGGGGTATAAAAATGTATGTCAATAACGTAATTCACGTTTCAATTATGTGTAGTCATTGTCATTCGCAAAATGTAGGCATGCACACACTCGATATGGATAAGCATGATTTGAGCCACAAAAATGGCATCTCCTCACAACGCAGGAGTAAAATTCACAGCATGCGCTTATGTCCAAAGCTCAAGTCCTCAAGTTGCCGATGTCAGGTGGACACACACACACACATCTGCTTTGTGGCACGAATATACGTGCCTGGCGAGCTTTGCTGGGCATGGCAAGCAATGGGGACAGAGCTTGGGGAAGTACTTTACATGGTCATGCCCAACAATGATCAAGCATCGTTCAAAACTTAGCGGCAACGTTTTGTTTGGCTGTGGGTCAAAAAATAGGTGCTCAAAGTGGAACCCTGGTAAATGGAACCAAGGAACCTGCGGTCCCCTGGTGGTTTAATTTTGACCCATACCCGTTTGGCGTATCGTAAGCTTCAACGCTGCAAACGGCACGCCCGACACTCCCATCGCCGCGGGGCGGGATGGCTGCGAGTGGCAGCTCCATCCTCGAAGAAGAGGTTGCAGTCCGTGTGGAACACCTGCGCGTGCGTGCTGGTTTGGAGCCGGAGCCGGAGCCCGGTGGGAATCGGTGGTGATGGGGTGGTGGTGTCCCATTTCCCACCAGAACCAGGGATTCAAATCCAAATCCAAACCACCAATCCAAACCACCAATCCAAACCACCAAAGGCCAGCCTGAGAAAGGACACTTGAGGAGAAAAAAAGGTTTCAAGCCATGGGTTCTATTTAGAATCACGCCAAGTGAATCCTGGCCATTTCATGTCCCTTGCCAGTCGAAAGTGGAGCAACACGTCAAGTGGCGTCGAAATGGTCGTGAGCCACTGACAAGATAAAGACGTGGATCCTGGCATGAGTCATTCCTGTAGGGCGCTGGAAGCGCCATCCAAACAAACAGCATGTGGGACATACAGCCAGGAATGGTTGCTGTCACCCTCCAGAAGTTGAAGCCAGGATATATGGCTGTGGCTCAAAAAAGTGGAATTCCACAATGGCACCCTGGTAAATGGAACCAAGGACTAAAACCCGCGGAACCCCAGCTCTTTGATTTTGAGCCACACCCATATATGTATAAGTGTTGATGGTCGAACAATGGCTATGACAATTCCAGGGCGAATTCCAGGGCGGGCTGGAAGACTTGCGAACATCTGCCTGCACTCACCTGCCGGCTCCCAAGACGAGAAACAGGCCAAACGATTGCCAAGCAGGCTGTTCAAGCGGCCAGCAATGTGTCATAGTCTTGCACCCGCTAGCTTCCAAAGAATTGGTGTCGATCACCAAATGTTACCACAGTCCAAGTGATGCATACCCTTTCAAGACAGCAAGTGGCTTTGGCAGTGCTTTGCAATTGCGTGAGCTTGTTTTATTTCCTCGTCTTTCACTTCTTGGATCGAAGATCTTGGAAATATTATATTGGTGAAATGAAAATATTCTCTTTCACCTATCTGCCCCCCGAAATCCAGGTCCAACAGAAAGATCTGGAATTTGGGTACGGCTCAAAATCAAAGAGCTGGGGTTACGCGGGTTTTAGTCTTTGGTTCCATTTACCAGGGTGCCATTTTGGTACCACTTTTTTGAGCCACAGCCATTTCGGAATCTCTCATTCCCTCGCCTTTCGGATCGGGAATTCTTGAGCCACTATTCACCCCCCGAAGATTCCCAGGCGGTGCTCCAAAGATGCAAGTTGGTACAAAATTGGCATTCGCAAGCAAACCACACAAAACGGATATGGTTGTTTTTTTGAGGGTACCTGTTTTACAGGGAAACCAAAAGGAAATCAATTGGTACCAAATGAGAGTAAACCACAAACAAAACCAATTTGAGTCCCCTTTTCGGTCCGCTTTAACGCGGAAAAGAGACAAACCGCCATTTTAGCGGGGGTCTCCTAAAGAAAGACACACTCATATGGCTGTGGGTCAAAAAATCGAGGCATAGGTTATGACCCATGGCCATATGCCCCCTTTTAAGCTTGACCATGAGAACCCTGTCTCATGCCTTGGGTGGATCCGTCTCATCCACGTCCTGCCACCACCACTCCGCGCCCAGGGCGTCTGCCAAGAAGGCGAGGCCTTTCGGGCGTCGTGGCTAAATGGGTCATAAAAAACAAGAGAGAAGCCTTTGGGGATGAGTTACTTGGCACTTCACCCAGCATGGTGCCACTTTGGTGATTCTTTGGGGAAGCTCGCCCTTATCACTCTTTGTCTCCCACACTGGTTCTCTAACTCTCTCTCTCTCTCTCTATCTCTTTCTCACTCTTGGTAAGCTTAGATTGTAGTCTGTAGGCATTACACTCCCCATCTTTTTCCTTAAGATGCCAAGGAAAGACCAACAAGTTTGGTCCGCTTCGGGCTAGCGCCGTCCGTTTGGGGCACCCCACCTGGCGCTCTGTGCAGCTGCAGGATCAGGTCCTCCACGATGCTGCCTGGAACTTCGCCACTTAAGGGCACCTGGGCAAGGCAACATGACTCCAGCAAAGGAGTGAAGTAGTGGTCGTTGGTTAGTTGGTGGGCGGGCGCGCAGGTGAGGTGGGTGGGGTGGGTGGTTCATTGGCTTTTCTTTCGGGCTTGTGGGGTAAAGGAATTACAAGAGCTTGGCCATCCAGAGGTTTGTTCCCTGAACTTGGTTGACATTGAAAGGGGAGCAAAACTTAATTTTTAGCAGTTCAGTGGGGGATTTCCCACTAAACCACAATATGGCTATGGGTCAAAATCCTTTTTTCAGTGAACATCCCAATCCCCACTTAAAATCGGTTCTAAAACGGGCGGCGAATTCACCTACCAACCAAACTGGGATCCCAAAACGGTTTTGACAACCAAATTCTAAGAGGCAAAAATATCTGCTGTAAAACAAGGTTTCCCAACCACAACCACGCCCAAGGGAATTGCAGAGATCGATTGCCCTGCGCTGAAAGTCCCGCCGGAGTTGGGCCGATGCCGGGCCTCCACGCCCAGTAGGAGGCCGTCAGCACCTCCGGCGCCGCCAAAGGCGACGGGGCCTCCGCCAGGCAGAGGCGCAGCGCCTGGCGCGGACTTTGAGCCCAAGATCCTTTCGCCAGGTGGGGGGGGAGTGTTTTTTTGGCTTCTGTTGGATTTGCGGTGTGTTTTTGTTTTTTGCGGGGGTGGGGGGGGAGTTGTTGAGGGAGGGGGGGTGTTTGGGGGCGGGGTTGAGGGTTTTGGGGCGGGTGGGGTGGTTTCGGCGCACGGCTTTTTGTCCATGGCATTCATCCATCGTCCGTTCAGAGGCCCCCAGCTCTCACTTTTTTGCCCAGGCGAAAGCCCGATCTTTTGTTCTGGGGTCCCCCGTGGCTTGGATGAGCTAAATTGGGGTGGGACCCCCCCCCCCAAAACAAAAAAAAACAATTAAACACAAAAGCAGTCCAAACCAATTTCGGCGAAAATGAATGCATCCCTCAAAAACCCTGCAACCTGTTTGGCACCGGGGGTCCCATGGAACTCGTTTGGCGGGTGTTTGGCGGTGTCCTTTTTAGGAAGCTGAGGGGTCAAGTCTTGGTCTAAACCAACAGGAGTAGTTGTGGCAATAAAACAAACAAACTGGATTTCCGTTAAAAACAATTCCTGTCGGCTTCTTAGAACAAAATGGATCCCTCTTTGCAGGGTTCCTTAAACGATGCATTGACCAGGGGGGTCCAACCCCTCGATTAATTGACTTGCTTGGAGCGTGCTGTCCATTGGAATCAAGGACCCAAACAACAACAAACAAGTTGCCGAAGGATTTTGGGCCCGTTAGGAAAAACGCCGTGGGGGAACCCCCCAATCTTGGCCATTGAACACCAAGAGACTCGCCAGCGGGCAGCGGGGAGAAAAAACACCGGGAGTTTCAAGGGGCCGGGCCATTTGGGAGCCAAAACGCCGACTGGTAGATGAGAAAGGAAGGCGAGAAAACCACACGAGAGCTGAGCTTCGTGAGCCAAAATGGAACACATGAGATGAAACACCAGGTGTTTCAGGTCGGCTGCGTTCTCAGGGAGGCTTCAAAGAAAAGACATGCAGCGCAGGGGACGATTGACACGTGTTTCAATCAAGGAACTGAATTGTCCTAGGGTAAAGCAGTGGCTTGCCGCCAGTAGAGAGACAGCCCGGTCGATTCGCTCCGGGTTTAAAAAAGAAAAAGAAACACACATCAAGCAAGTGCGGAGTATGCAACCAGCGGAGTTGATTTCCCAATCAAGTCTTCGGGAAGGCCAGCCAGAATGGATGGAAGGCTTGGGCGCCTTCCAGTGCCACGGTTCATCTGGGAAAGGCATGCTGTTTGTCTGAGTGGTCCTCAGATCCCCTGTTCAATCTTTTCGTGGGTTACATGATGGCTGCGCAGCCTTTAGGCCTTCCTCTCGCTGCTGGGCCATGGGTCAAAATCCAAATCGTACCCGCAGTGAACATGCCAATCCCCACTAAAATCGGTTCTAAAATGGGTGGCGAATTCACCTACCAACCAAAATGGGATCCCAAAACGGTTTTGACCACCACAGCCCCTTGGGCTCGAGTCTACTGGACCCCGGCACCACAGGCGTCCCAGCAGCTCCCGCCTCTGCGCCTTGCTCGGAGATCAGCTCCTCCAGCACCAGAGGCTCCATGGCGGGCCGCGAATCGCTCCGAGCTCCGAGCTCCGAGCTCCGAATCGGACGCGAGCCGGAGCGGAAGTTGCGA